TCTTCGGGGCCCGGCAAGGGCCTTGCGCAAGGGCCACGTGGGGAGGGCACAAGCCCCTGGTCCCTGGGCCATGGGGTGGAACAGTTTGTGACAGCAGCAGCTGGAGAGTCTGGGCAGCTCTAGTTGGTCTCCATCTTAGGGTACTGAAAGCATTGTGGGGGGACAGGGGAGATGCTGCTCTGGGAAGGTCTTGGCAGGGAGAGGTTCCCTTCTCCATCTCCTACCATGCCCTCTACTTCTTGGGGTTAGATGTCTGCACCAAGTGCCACCTCTCTCTGCCAGATCTTCTCCCACCTCCCCTCTGCTGTGCTTTTTTGCACACGAGCCTCTATTTGGCACGAGCCTCTCTCAGCCAGCATCTTCCTTACCTCCCTCCTTCCTTTCTGGGCCAAGTTTCTCCCGGGGACACCCACTGCACCTCTTATGTCTCAGGCCACAGGACTGGTGCCCACCCTCCATCTGCTGACCCGGCTTGGCTCTGCCTGTCCCTCCGAGGCCTGCTGTGTGCCACATCCAGAGCGTCCTTTTGGTCTGCATCAGACTCGCCTGCCCATCACCATCTTGGCTTTGATCACCCTCTTCTCGTTCTTCCTCTTCCTGAATAGCAGAGTGTTTCTGCTCCTCCACTGCTCCTTCTCCTCCTCTTTCCTGTATCCATCAGTGTCCTTTGCCCTGCACACTCCGTGGCACTCTCTTTCCTTCCACAGACATCAACAGCCACCTGGAGGCCGACAACCCCAAGTCCACAGCTCCGGCTCCAGCCTTTTTTCCAAAGCTGCTTCGTACACGTGTTGCAGGGGGCACCTGCTTGTGGCCCTGTCGTCACACACACTTATCTAAGATGAAAATACCGACTTAGCACTCAGCATCTCCCACCGCAGTTAATGGTGCCACTCTTAGACTCGTCTCTCTCCCCCGGTCCTGCCCATTCTCCAGGTGCTCTGAGTCCCCCTGGTGTAGTCAGGTAGGCCAGGCCATGCTGCGGTCACAAATATCCCTGCAGTATCAGTGGCCAAATGCAGCATCTGGATGGCTGGGCCAGCCTCTAGGTCACTCCTCAGAAATCTCGTCTTGTTCAAGCTGCAGCTCTGCCATCTGGAGCCTCTGAACTTGCTGCAGGAGGTAAGAGAAGATGAGACCTGTAAGATGTTAAGGCCCCGCCTGAAATGGGTCATGTCGTTTCTGCCCCATTCCTGAGACCCCTCAGCTGACTGTGAAGGAAGATGAAAATTCCAGTCCAAAGACGGTCTCCCCCACGTGCTCAGGGAGGGGAAGGTACTTGATGCCCCACAGTACTGCTGGCAAGGCCCTGATCCTCTCCGACTGGACTCACGGGTCTCCCTGCTTGCAGCCTCTGTCCTTCCAATGCAGCTTCCTCCCAGCTGCAGCAGCAGCCAGTCGTTCTATGCCGTGGACCTGGCCACATCACCTCCTGCTAAACCCCTTGCTCTTGGAATAGCGTCACGCCGGGCCCTCTCAACCTCCCCAGACACTCTTCTCACCACGCTCCCAACACGGCCTCCTCCCCACCTGCTGCAAACTCCTCACATTTCCCCAAACCGGCCATATTTCACAGGGCTCCCCTTATCCCCGCTTTGCCGATAGGGGATCTCCCTTCCAGAACAGGCTTGGATCTGCGTGCCGGAGTCAGCTCACCAGGCCCCTCTAGGGTTCATCTGCTCCCACCCACCGCAGGCCAAGTCTTGGGCTCCCTGTGCAGGGTTTGCGCAGCCCTTCATGTGCCCTCATTAGGATACTCTTGGTGTTGTTAGTTACTGCTTTTCAGACTGTCTGACTTCGCCCATAAGACAGAGGTTAAAGGCTCACTGTGCAGCCTCCACCGTGCTGAGACTTCACTCTCTGGAGCCTCAGCATCACCCTGTGAGAGGCACTGCTGGGGCTTCCATTTAACATCATGGGGAACCAAGGCACAGAGACAGCAAGGAACTTGCCCACAGCCAAGTGAGGGAGGCAGGTCGGCCCTAAGTCCACATGTGAGACTGCTGTGCTACACAGCCTGTGACCACAGCCCTCAGCTACGTGGCACCTGCATCTCCGTCTCTGCGACCCAGCATGCTGGTCCAGAGTGCATGGCCACTCATGGCCAGTGGAACGCATGTGGGCAGTTCCATTTTATAGCTGTCTTTTACTCTCTCCTCTACCTACTTCCATTCATGTTTCCCTTAGAAAACCCCAGTATGGGCTGGGTGTGGTGGCTCACACCTGTAATCCGAGCACTTTGGGAGACTGAAGTGAGTGTATCACCTGAGGTCAGGAGTTCAAGACCAGCCTGGCCAACATGGCGAAGCCCTGTCTCTACTTAAGAAAAAAAAAATTAGCCGCCCAACGTGGTGGGCACCTGTAAACCTAGCTACCTGGGAAGCTGAGGCAGGGAATTACTTGAACCAAGGAGGCAGAGGTTGCAGTGAGCTGAGATTGCACCACTGCACTCTAGCCTGGGCAACAAGAGCAAAAGCCTGTCTCAAAAAAAAAAAAAAAAAAAAAAAAAAAATCCCCACTACCTTTTCCTTCTCAGTTCATTTCAGGAAGCAAGAAAATAAATCCATGAGACTCTCCTTAGACTATGTGAAAACAAAGTAATGTGATCTTATCCCTGGAAGTGAGCACCATGCCTGGAAGAGAGTCACTCAGAGATCACATCCACGCCTCAACTATTCTGGTCACACAGGAAAATGATTACCACGACCTTCTCTCACTATCTGCACAACACAAACAATGTCAAAGGGTCTCTCACACTGTGTCTGTTCATGAAAAGGGCTTTGCCAACGTGTCTTTTGGTAAATGTGCAGAAATAATGTCCTTTAAAGTCCCTGCTCTGCAAGTGGCTGCCGTGACATGGGTACGCAGAGGGGCCAGTGTTGCTGCTCAGGGTTGCCCTGACAAAGGGCTGCAGACTGGGGCCGTCAATAACAATGGTCTGGTTTCTTGGAGGCCTGGAGGCTGGAAGTCTGAGATCTAGGTGTTGGCGGGTGTGCCGCTTCTGAGGTCTCTGGGTGTGGCATGGAGGTGGCTGCCTTTCCCCTCTTCCCGTGGTGGTCTCTGTGCATATCTGCATCCTAATTCTTTATTTTTACTATTTTGGAGACAGGATCTTACTATATTGCCCAGGTTGGCATGCAGTGGCGCAATCACAACTCACTGCAGCCTCGACCTCCCAGGGTCAAGTGAGTCTCCCGCCTCGGCCTCCTGACTAGCTGGGACTACAGGTGCATGCTGCCGCACCTGGCTAACTTTTGTATTTGTTTTCTTTAGAGACAGGGTCTAACCATGTTGTCCAGGTTGGTCTTCAACTCCTAGGCTCAAGCAATCTGCCTGCCTTGGCCTCAAGTGCTGGGATTACAGGTGTGAGCCACTGTGCCTGGTCTTAATTTCCTCTTTTTAAAAGGACACTAGTCAGATTGGATTGGAACCCATCCTAATGGCCCTATTTTAACTTATTCTCCTCTTTAATGAACCTTTCTCCAAATGCAGTGACTTTCTGAAGTACTGGGGGTAAAGACTTCAATATATGAATTTTGAGAGTCCCAATTCAGCTCCAAACAGGCCCTAATGGAATCCCTGGCCACTGCATCCAACAGCTCTGTGACCCTGGATGAGTCCTCGCTCACTGGGTTTTAGTTTCTTATCACCAGCATGGTTGGGGGGTGATCAGACAAGCTTGCCCAGGGCCTTTACAGCTTGAAAACTCCACAGTGACCTATAAAAGCATCACTCCAGGAAGATATATTGCTTTTGCGACCCAGGCAACACGACGAGGGCTTTCAGCGTTCAAGGCCACGCATCCACAGTGCTCTGGTGTTTCTCAATATTTGACGACAAATTTTATGATCCCTGTTGGCAGGTGAGACATTTCTCCTCAGCTTGAAAGCAATAGCAGCGTGGTCTCAGTGGGAAACATCCTCAGAGAAATGTTTGTTTTTTTCTCGTGTGTTCAGTTCCGAGGTGGAAGCCCCCAACCACTCATTGAGGGAAGGGAGGTGTCTGACGCTTTTAAATCAAACAAAGGCATTTTCTTTTCAGGGTGGGTGTTTCTGTACACACACACGATTAAAGATCAAAGCCCAAATAAACCTACTGGGGAATGAGAAAGGGTCACCAAAGACAGGACAGCCCTCTTCTTGTGGGTGCAAAGGCAGGCTGGCTAGCACCTGGCAATGCATGGCCAGCCAGGAGCCCATCTGTGACTTCCAGGATCCCAAGAGTCACACAGGGCTGTGGGGGCTTCAAAAACAAGCCCGAAGCAGAGGCTCTTAGCCCATCCTCAATTGGGCAGTGGTGCGGTAGGGTTGGTATTCTCCCCAGAGCTCTGCCTTCTGCTTTGCCACGCAGTAGCTGTATTGGAACTGGCTGGTTTCCTTCCACAGGCATGGATGGAGAGGAGAGGCAAGGCCCCCAGTGGGACCAAGGGTCCCTCTCATAGTCTCACCTTGGATGAGTTGCTTTATCCTTCTCCTTCCTTCTTGAAGCTGGTCTTCAAAACAGCTCTATGCCTTTGTGCAGAGACATGTCTGGCTGTGTCTCCACCTAAATCTCATCTTTAATTGTAGCTCCCATAATTCCCATGTGTTGTAGGGGGACCTGGTGGGAGGTAATTGAATCATGGGGATGGTTTTTTCCATGCTATTCTTGGGAAAGTGAGTAAGTCTCAGGAAGTCTGACAGTGTTAGAAAGGGCGGTTCCCCTGCACAAGCTCTCTTGCTTGCTGCCGTGTAGGACGTGCCTTTGCTTCTGCTTCACCTTCAGCTGTGACAGTGAATCCTCTCCAGCCATGTGGAACTGTGAGTCCATTCAACCTCTTTTTCTTTATAGATTACCCAGTTTGAGTATGTCTTCACAGCAGTATGAAAATGGACTGATTCATGCAGAGAGCTGAACTTTCCAGATTCAGAGTGTCCTATATCCACTAAATTGCAATATTGGCACCCAGGAGGCAGCTGAGAGGGATAAACGGGGTCTTATGTGCACAGAGCTAGGTGTGCAATACACAGCAGCTAGTGTTACATCTTCTTTGAGCGTCCATTGATTTGGGTCAAATTGGACATGTCTGGACATTGAGGGGGATTTCCTACTGGGAATACTACACGTAGCTCTTCTTGAGCTTAGCACGGTCATCTCTGTAGTCAATGTGTATGTAGAGTTTTACAGATTTCAGAGCACAGTTGCCTGCCTCATCTCCTCTAACCCCCTCCATTGTACCGTGAGATCTATCTTGTCACTTCTGTTTTACATGAGGAATAACCTGAATGAGACGGGGGCTCATGTGGATCACCTGTCCAAGGCTCCTCAGTTCTAAGAGGACAAGGAAAGACCCGAGGACGAGCGCAGACTGATGGTCTGTACTTCCGGATCCCAGAAACTAGGCTTGTTTTACAGTCTTCACATCTCACGATTTTCTTGCAAAAAACCCTGTGTCCGGCTCTGTGCGCACCCATGCTGAATGCTGGAGGATTTCCACACCCAGCACAGAAGCTGAGTGGGCTCCGGTTCATCTGAGCATGCTAGTTTCTAGTCCATATTGGAGGGCTGTGCAAGCATTTCAAGGTAGAGTGATTATTTGGCTTTATTGAGGTGTGTCCTCCTTACCTCATTAGTAAAATCATTCATGCACAAACTGCTGAAGGGAAACATGCATTAAAAACTGCAATGGACTGTGGCTTCATGAGGCCAAATTGTTTGAGGCTCTGTTTGGCCTACTTTTAACATTTGCAAAGGACCAAGACCTGCTCCTGTCATGGGAAACAGTGGATGGACTGAGAACATCTAGAGTTGGAATTCTATAAGGCATAGAACGTTGGTTTACGTGGAGTTAACCAAGAGAAAGTCCAAAGGAGTCAACTGTTGGTTTCCGCCTGGAATTTTCTTAATCCTGGTTAAAGCACCTAAGATCTTTATGGCTTCAGGCTGGGCCTTGAAGTGGTAGGAGAGGTGTCTCGTTTTCCAGCAGACTCGCCTCTCCAGCTGCATACCACAGTTGTCCTATCAGCAGGGCACTTGGCATGTGGTTTTTGTCATGAGGAGAGGCAGTCAGGAATTTGTACTTTGATCTTCCCCACAGAGGTGGATATCTTCCCAGGACAAAGGGCAGGGAAACAGAAACTCCAAAATGCTTATGACCTTGCAAACACCTGTTTAGGGCTCTTGCTTAAATGGTGACGATTGGAGGTGAATGTGGAAAATTATTAAAATGAATGTAGGACATCAGCCTCAACAACAGGTGAGAAGGTGGTGCCCGCTGATCCTGAAATGCTGGCACTGCCCAAAAAGCTGGTGATACCCAGCACAAGGCTGGGGGCCAAGAATGTCCCTCCAAATTGTTCTCGAGGGGTCTATAACCTGCAATGGTAAGGGCGGAGAAGGTGGTGGGCAAGTGGAGTTAGAGAGGACACCAGCTTCGGAAGCAGATGCATCCAGTTTTAAGTCTTGTTCTGAAACTGACTGAGTGACTGTTAGGGATTGAACTGTGTCCCTGTGCTGGATTTCTATGAAGTCCTAACTCCAAATGTGATGGGATTTGGAGACGGGGTTTCTGAGAGGTGACTGGAGTCCAATGAAATCATAGGGAGAGATGCTGATCCAACGGGATTGGGGGCTTCCTAAGAAGAGGGGGAGAGAGATCTGCTATTTCTCCTGCCACATGAGGACAGGGTAAGAAAGGGGCATCTGCAAGCCTGGAAGAGAGCCCTCACCAGACACAGAATTTCCTGGTACTGGAACTGAAAGGAAATGAGTTTGTGCTGTTCAAGGCACCCAGGCTGTGATATTTTGTGAGGGCAGCCCAGGTTGACTAAGACAGTGACTTAAATTATTCAACCTCAAATGCTTCCCAACAGCCTCTTGATGTAAAATGGAGATTATAACACTGACCTCAAAGAGATGATAAAATTCAATGAAATAATATCTGCGAGAGGAGCGGCTCCTTGTAGATGCACCAACGTTCTGTTTTCCAGTCATCTGTGAGCTTCAACCACCAAAGCCACACTGCATTCATTTTAGTTCTCCCAGAGCCTGGCACAGAGGAAGTTCTCAGTGAGTAGTGGCTGAAGGAACAAATAATAAACGACGGATGGGTAAGTGTGCGTAGCCTCCGCTCTGAGCGCCACGCTGCTCACTCGGGGCTTTTCCTCAACTTCCAACCTGAGTCATTTGGTCACTGTCCGCTCTCAGACCAGGACACAGGACCAGTGTTGGTGGAAGATGCCGTGATGTGATTAATTTCAGCCGATCACAATACTGGCTTTGGGATTTTAAAAAAATTTCTTTTGAAATAGGGCACTAGGATGGAGCAGCTTCTGTCCTGCCTGGCCTGGAGCTCCTGGCAGCAATTCCTGTTTCTGTGCCCTGAACACTGAGGGCCCACTGCGAGCCATCAGAGAATCAAGGTTGGAGGCTGGGTCCTTCCGGCTTTAATATCTGGTGTTTCCCCACACTGGGCTCTCAGCCCTCCCTGAAATCTCCCTGCTACAACTCTCAGTCCAGTCCTGAGACCCCACAGGGAGGGTGCTCCTAGACTTTCAGCTATGAGGTATCATCATGTGGTCACACCCACAAGATGTAGGGCCTTCTCCGTAGCCAGCAATGTCCTCAGCTTCCCTCCAGAATGACAGGACCCCATAGTTTCGATGAGCAGTGGAATGAGTGGTTTGTGGCTGGCAGAGTCAGAAGAGTTTAATTTATGATGGGATTTTTTTTCTTTACAAGAAATAAAGGAAAAGAATGTCTTGCTAAGTTAACAAAGCTGCCGTATCACTGTTCCTTTGGCCAGTCAATTTCTCATTGACCAGTAACAAGCTTCAGCTCGGCCAAACCCATTTTTCACAGCAATCTAGATGATTTACCATTTAAAGCATTCAGCACGTCTAAGGCCTAGTTGAGTTTGCAAACAGCAGGCAGAGCTGGGCAGAGGAGATCAGGACCAACAGGACCTCGGCGATCACAGGTTCCAGCTTCTTCCTTTCACAGGAGAGGACACCGAGGTCCCCTGGGAGAGGAACTTGCTGGTGGTCCCTGTGAGGGTGTCTGAGGTGAGGCTCAGCCCTGTGCTCTGTTCATCATCGCCTCCCGAGTCCCTTCTCAAAGCCCTTCCAGAAGACTCCTATGCAAGGTGGGGCTTGAGCAGGTCCTTCCTCAGGAAACGCGTGGAGAGAGAGGAGCCCACGCTTAGCATCTGCCAGGTGGGAGGGGAAACGTGGAGAAAGCAATTGCCATGTGCCTTTGTCACCATGAGGCTCAAAAACCTGGACTCACCCAGCTAGGAATTTCTCTCTTAAAATAAAATAGGTTTGCTTTGTGCTTTATGGGGATTCCCTTAAAGTATATCTCATCCTAATCCTGGGGAGGAAGTAGTCAGTATTTTGTTAACTGTCTGGGCCTAGGTGACACAGGCTCGGAGACAGAGATGAAGGTTAGAATCTGGCGTCTTTTAATCTCTCCTCCCTGGTTTCATCTGTTCTCAATGTCCCTGAAGCAATGGCCTAGCCAGGGAGGATGTATTCATGAATCTGAAGGGCGTCCATGTGAACTTGAGGCAGGCTTGGTCTACATGCTGCTTCGTAGCAAAAAGCTTGGACCTGTGTGCAGAGTGACAGTGCAACAAGCTTCAGCCCATCTCAAGAGAGAGCGCAGGCCCTTGGAGCTGCCTGTGGGGTGCTGAGCTGATATATGTATTACCACACTTTAAAGATTGAGATATGAGTCACAAGCCATAAAAATCAGCCCTTTAAAGAGTACCACACAGTGGTATTGAGTACATTCACAGAGGTGTGCATTCATCACCGCTGTCTAATTCGAGGACATTTCCCTGCCTCAGAAAGAAACCCGGCACCCTTAGCATTTACTTCCCATGCCCTCTTCCCCCAGCCTCTGGCAACCGCTAATCATCTACTGTCTGTCTTTGTGGATTTGCCGTATTTCTTATAAATGAAATAATATAACGCATGCCTTTTGTGTCTGGCTTCTTGCACGGAGCATGTTTCCATAGTTTGTTTACGTTGTGGCATGCATTAATTATTCTTTTTATTGGCAAATAATATTCTATTGTAGAGATATGGATATGCCATGTTTTATTTATTATTAGTTACTGGACTTTTGGCTTTCTTCCGTTTTTTATTATTATTTATTTTTAGATGGAGTCTCACTCTGTCGCCCAGGCTGGAGCGCAGGGGCGGTGCCATCTTGGCTCACTGCAACCTCCGCTTCCCAGGTTCAAGTGATTCTCCTGCCTCAGCATGCCAAGCATCTGGGATTATAGGTGTCTGCCACCATGTCTGGCTAATTTTTGTATTTTTAGTAGAGATAGGGGTTCACTATGGTGGCCAGGCTGGCCTTGAACCCCTGACCTCAAGTGATCCATCAGACTTGGCCTCCCAAGGTGCTGGGATTACAAGCATGAGCCACTGCACCCAGCCCTGTTTCCCTTTTTGACTATTATAAATCATGCTGTCACAAACATTCTTGTGCACATTTTTGCGAGGACATATGTTTTCAGTTCTCTTGGGTACATACCTAGCAGTGGAATTGCTGGGTCAAATGATAACACTGTTTCCCTTTTTGAGGAAACTGCCAAACCGGCTTGCTAAGTGGCTGCATCGTTTTACATTCTCACTGGAAACACAGGCGGGATCTAGTTTCTCCACAACTTCCTTAACACTTGTTAGACAATAGCGAGACGGATCACGTGTATTTTCTGGAATTGAAGTCGTCCTAGTGGGTGTAAAGGAGCATTTCCTTGTAGTTCTGGTTTTGTAGTCCTTCACTAACTAATGGTGGTGAGCTTTTATTCATGCGCTTATTGATCGTGTGTACAACTTTGGAGAAATCCTTTGCCCATTTTTGAGTTGGATGTGTTGTTTTTTTTATTGTTGACTTATAAGAGTTCTTTATATATTCTTGATACTAGACTTATCGGAAACATGATTTGAAAAACCGTTTTCTCTTCTGTGGGTTGTCTTTTCTCTTTCTGGTGTCCTCTGTCAAACAGAAGTTTTACATTTTGATGAAGTCCAGTGTGTCTACTATTTTGGCTTTAGTTGTCTCATGTCTGTTGTTGCCTAATCCAAGACATAAAGATTTACAGCTATGTTTTCTTTCTTTCAAAAGTTTTATAGTTTTAGCTCTTAACCCTTGGATATTTTTATTCTTAAATTATCAGACTCAGCTCTGAGAACACTTTTTCCGTTTTGAAATAATTTTTATTGTATAAAAGAAAAATATTAAGGAATTAAAATTAAAGGAAAATATATACCTTTTACAAAACAGGAACTTGTCTTTAAAATCAATTTTGTAATTTACTTCATTCATTTGAAATATCAGAAACATTTTCTGATGTAATTATTCTCCTACATCATAACTTTGGTTATGACGTAGGAGTTATATCCAAACACATTCCATTGTTTGGATATCTATTATTTTTTAAACCCCTTGTTATTGGACATTTATGCTATTCTCATTTAGAAAATAGTAACAATACAACAATGAGCTCATAATAATTTTCTCAGAATAAATCGTCAAAGGTGTTTTTGAAAGAATAAACCCCATTCCCAGCGTCCTGGTAAAGCAAGTGTACAAGGGTTCCCTGAGAATTTTCCGGAATAAAGTTAGATACAAAGGTAAATAAATGACTTGCATTTTGGGGGGAGTGCCTTCTTGACCTTGTCTAATATTCAGATATTTTCTGTAGGCTATTTTCTTTGTTACTATAGTTACTATAATTACAATTTTAAATACTGCATAAGATATCGATTTGATATATTTTACTTATGATGCCCAGATGTTAAATACTCAAGTTGCATTTGACTTTATTTATTTATTTATTTTTTACTTTAAGTTCCGGGATACAAGTGCAGAACGTGCAGGTTTGTCACATGGGAAAACATGTGCTATGGCGGTGAGCCGCACCTACCAACCCATCATCTAGGTTTTAAGCCCCACATGCATTATCTATTTGTCCTAAAGCTCTCTCTCCCCCTACTCCTGGCACCCCCCCCATGTGTGTTGTTCCCCTCCCTGTGTCCGTGTGCTCTCATTGTTCAACTCCCAACTATGAGTGAGAACACCCTATGTTGGGTTTTCTGTTCCTGTGTTAGTTTGCTAAGGATGATGGCTTCCAGCTTCACCCATGTCCCTGTAAAGGACATGATCTTGTTGTTTTTTTTCTTTGTTTGTTTTTGCGACAAAGTCTCACTCTGTCACCAGGCTAGAGTGCAGTGGTGCAATGTTGACTCACTGCAACCTCTGCCTCCCTGGCTCAAGGGATTCTCTTGCCTCAGCCTCCTGAGTAGCTGGGACTACAGGCATGCGCCACCACACCTGGCTAATTTTTGTATTTTTAGTAGAGATGGGGTCTCATCATGTTGCCCAGGATGGTCTCAATCTCTTGATCTCATGATCTGCCCACCTTGGACTCTCAAAGTGCTGGGATTACAGGTGTGAGCCACCACGCCCGGCCTCTCATTCCTTTTTATGGCTGTAGCATTTGACTTTTAATTTATAGGGAAAACCATAGTGAACATATTTTGTGCATACTATTTTGATCTTTTGAGTTGCTTCCTTAGGGCTGGTTCCCAGCAGAGGGATTTTGGGGTGAAATGGCCAGAAGTTTTAGAGAATATACATATTGCTATGTTGCTCTAGCAGGGACGGTAGCAATTTGCACTCCCTTCACGGTGTATGAGGGTCTGGCATCCGGGAAACTTGCCTCCAGCCCCACAGGCTTTGAAGTGTTTCAGCAAGGATTTCAGGTGGGTGGTGGCTGAGTGAAGGGACGGAAAACTAACTTCCGATTTTACCTCTATGTTGTAACTTTTAAGTTTACATTAAAGGATGATTCTTCATCTTTCTGTGGATTTCATGTTTATCCTGTCCTTTTCCCCAGAGAGTGAAGTTTCAAAATTGATCTGCAAGAAAACAGACTCTCTATCTGAGGCTCTATTAGAAGGATTGGTGTTCACTGACTTCTGAATTGGGAAATGTTTAATATGCACGTGGAGAGACGGCAGTTTCCAGGTTCAAAATGACAGGGCTTTTCCACCTGGGGCTGGACATCTCCCAGTTTTATCTTCTGAGACCTTAA